AAGCCAGATCACGCTGGGTACGAGAAGGATGACATTCTTGGGCCCCTGGAGACGGTGGACATGCCGTCGGTAAACAACCCAGGTACATACTCGTCAGTATGCATCGACATCAACCTTCGTAACCTCGCTATCAACACCATCCTGTCGTCGTCTCTGGTCAACGAGCTTGAGGGTGCAGACTCTGTTTCCTTCAACCCATCTTATGATTCTACGGGTGACGGCTCCCACGTCATCGTGTCAGACAACGCTTTTGCAGGCGCCGGTATCACCGTCCTCCGAGAGATGGTAAAGGCATGGTGGGTTGAAGCTGTTCAAGCCGGGCACGGCTTTAGTATGGCCGATGTCATGGTCCAACATCTCGTCCGCTGGGTCAGCAGTCCGGGATCGTTCCTCTACGACCGCGCACTACACTACTATGTCCAGATGATGTCGAAGAAGACGCTACAGCAACTCATGACGGATTTCAAGCGTGTCGGTTCGCACATCGTATTTGCTAGTCCGAACCGCCTGCTTCTCCAGACGACTAAAGCTGAAGTGGGTAACGCTTATGCGTACAGTCAGTACATCATTAAGACGATCAAGTCGAAACCGCTCTTCCAATTCATGGAGCTTGAGATCAAAGAATACTGGGATTACCTGGTGTGGTACGACGAGTTCAACTACGGAGGCAAAGGATGCAACGAAGTCACCGAGGACGAGACACAGCCGGTTGAGAACATCATGTGTTGGCAGCTTGCACAGTTCCTGCCGCCGAAGTTCCAACCTACCTTTAACGATTGGGTCGTTGAATTCATCGAACTCATGCACGCACGGAAACGCCCTGGCATCACGGAAGACGGCTCGACACCCAGAGTCACCCAGATCCCGCTCCGACCACTTACTGTCGATCCGAACGAGCAAACGCAGATCCTGCCGAAGCAGTTCACTAGACCTCTGTCGAAACAGATGAACGTTTTCGCCAAGAAGCAACACGCAGAGGTCTTAGATCCCCTCTTCGCTTCCGACTATGTCTTCCCCGAGCTTCCGGGCTCGCATCTCAAGCTCACGAATCCAGTCTTGCAACTCGTCAAGAGCATCATGCAAGTGTTAAGCTTGGATCGTGCCATTTCACTGGAAGCGCGTGCGCTACGAAAGGAGTTGCTGAATCTATTCGATATTCGCGAGTTCAGCGCGGAAGCCAGCTTCACCAACCCCAGTGCCGCCCTCGTCGTCCGAGGCGTTATCTGTGATGATTGTACATCTTCACGCGACCTGGACCTCTGCCGCGACTCTTCTCTCCTTCCGGTCATTCTTCCCGACAGTGATGCCGCCCCCGTCCTTCCCAAATGGAAGTGCGACAACTGCGAGTCAACCTACGACAAGCGACGCATCGAAGAACAACTCGTCGGCGAAGTGCAGAAGATGGTACTCGAATGGTGTACGCAAGATCTGAAGTGCGGCAAGTGCAAGAGGCTACGCAGCAATGAGTTTATGGAACACTGTGCTTGCGCAGGCGAATGGGTAGCTACGAAGAACAAGCAGGAGATCAAGAGGAAGATGAATGTGTACGGCAATGTTGCAAGATTCTATACATTGGGTATGTTGGAGGCTGTTGTTGAGGAATGTTTAGAGAGTTTCTGAAGGGCATGTGAAATTGCTGTATGATGGCGATCGATCGGTACGGCGTTCTTGTCTTGGGCATGTGTGCGGAATCGGGGCGCGCGGCGTCCTCGGTCTTACTCCGCATGGGTTTTGATATCGATTTCCCGGGCTTTTCTGCCCTGTAGCATTTAGAGGCGTTTGGAGCGACTAAGTGGGGTAAACGTCGTCCATTCGTCCACTTCGCGTCTTGTTTATCCCGACGTACATATATCAACCAACCCTTGTAACAATCTTATCAGCTCATAAAATCGCGATCCTTGCTCACTGCCAATTTCTGATCAACAGTGATGAGCAGCGATCCGAATGCAAAAAAGCCAAGAAAGGATTACGTTTGAGACATGGGAGGTAGGAGCGGGGCTTGCGTCAACTTGGTCCTGGGATGCCGTGCGAGCACGCCATTTGGGGCTAAATGATCGCAAACAACAACATGGATTCAGATATGATGCGATAACATCAGAATGAGGGGATGAGGGGGAGACAAGGCTTAGGAAGGCAGGGATCGATGGAAATAAAAGTATATATAGACAAATCAATCTTGCTTTTACGTGTTTTCAACGGCTTTTGTGTAACCTTCTTGATCACGTCCATTCGAGGAATGGAAGAGACATACATACCCAGCTCTTCGTAATTCCACTTATCCTTTTCAAGACCGAGCTCCTGCCGTCCAATTGGCTCGAGAACCTTCACCAGAATGGCGCCAGCACTCACTTCTCCCTCGCCTAGTGCACCACACACACTCTCCGACCCAACCACTACAACCACAAAGAAAGCCCCCAAATCCATCTTCCCAGATGGAATACGCACATCAGGCCAACACGAGCCCATCTACTCCCTCTTACAACCCTACTCTGCCTTCCCCAAAGAAATCACCGGCCCAACAGCATGGAGCAAAACAGACTACGCATCCAACCCCGAACGCTGGACGCACATCTTCTCCGCCGACGAAATTCGCGAGATGAGCGAAGCAGCCGATACCTTCATCGCTTCTGGAACACCCTTGACAGGCATCACCAAAGATCTCTTCCCACTACCCAACTTCTCCAAGTTCCTTGAGCCGTTGCGAAAGGAATTGATCGATGGAAAGGGATTCATTCTCTTTAAAGGTATGCCTGTTGAGCAGTGGGAAAACCAGAAATCTGCTGTTGCGTACATGGGTCTCGGAACGTATCTGGGTTACTTTGTGAGTCAGAATAGTCGGGGTCATGTGCTTGGACATGTGAAGGATCTGGGTGAAGATGCCACGGCGATCGATAAAGTACGGATTTATCGGACAAATGCCCGGCAGTTCTTCCATGCCGATGATTCAGATCTGGTGGGGCTGTTGTGCGTGGCTAAGGCGTTGGAGGGTGGAGAGTCTGATCTTGTAAGTCATGTTGCGATTTCCCGAGTTCGCAAGACATCTCCAGAAGTATGCGGTTTTGCTAACTGGTTGCTTGTACAGGTCAGTAGCCATGAAGTGTGGAATGATCTTCAGAAATACCACCCTGATGTTGCCGAATTGCTCACCCAACCTATCTGGTACTTTGACCGCAAAGGCGAGACAAGCGTGGGACAGAAGGAATGGATCAAAACCGCCGTTTTCTACCTCGAGACGGGAGAGAATCCAAGGGTCTACAGCAAGTAAGCAAGCGCCCGAAGAACCACAAAGTCCTCAGAATTTCAGACTGACAGAACCGTCAACAGATTCGACCCCTACTTTGTCCGTTCCTTGACCCGCTTCTCGGACGCAGGTCTCATCCCCGCTCTTTCCGAGGCCCAAGAACGCGCCATTACCATTCTCGAGGAGACATGCCAAAAGCATGCGCTGCACATGATTCTGGACGTGGGCGATATCCAGTTCCTGTCCAACAACCATATATTCCACGCCAGAACGGCGTACAAAGACTATGCGCCACCGGCGCCAAGGAGGCACTTGATGAGGTTGTGGTTGAGTACGCCGGAGGGAGAGGGTGGATGGAAATTGCCGTTCCATGACAGTAACGAGAAGAAGAGGGGTGGGATTCAGGTCAACGATACGGCACCCGTTGCACCGTATGATGCGGAGTAGTCGGTTATCGCGGGCGATTCGTATCTAGCTTTGTAAGTAGCCTGGGAACGTTTGTATAGCAAAGAAAATCGGAGATTCGCAAAAGACCGTAAAGTGTTGCGATTCAATGTGGTATCATTCTTCTCTCGAGGCGCGACCTTTGCACCAACCCTTGTGTTTGACCGCCACACATGTTGGACTGTTCCTGTACGTGCAGCTGATCCAACAATGATCCTACTGCGCGTCAAACTTTGGTGTCGTGTGCAGTAATCCATAATCTCAATCTTCCAAATTTCATAGCGCAATTCCCTGCCCTCTTGCGACGCCGTGATGCGCATCTGCGGGTGATCTTCTTGGCCTTCAATCTCTGTTGTCTTTTTCTGCACCTAGAAACCCCGTCCGCGTCCCCTGCCACCGCCGCCTCTTCCGCGACCACCTCCACCACGTCCACGGCCTCCTCCGCGGCCACCGCCCCTTGCACCACGGTCACCACCGCCGACCTCTTTCCTTGCCTTGTTCTTGGGCTTGGGCGCGTCGTCGATGAGAAGTGTGTCGAGCGGTAATGAATCGGGGAGGATGATGTAACGGATTGTGGAACCGCGGACGGTCATTGTGTCGAGGGCTACGGTGTCGCGAGACTTGGGCGTGTACTTGACGGCTCTGAGCGCGACATTCATGAGCGGTGAGACGGAGGTGATTGTGCCGTTTACGATAGTGCCTGCGCTCCTGTCAGATCATGTTTCCAGGAAGGAGCTGAAGGTTTCGATGTAAAAGCGTGCTTGCGCAACCATAAGAAGACGCGCTCGCAACAGAGCTGCTGTCGCCAGACAACAACGCGACGAGAGTAGAAAACAGAAGGAAGCATGGGCTTTACTGACCATTCTTGAGCTCGACTGTGACCGTCTCATTCTGGCACTTCATAAGAAACCTGCGCGAAGCCGTTAGTTGCAAGTCTCTCAGAAGTTGAGGGCTAGCCTACCTGACGAGCTTCATGACTGCTGCTTTTCGACCTGGGCAGTAGTATAACTCGGAGTAGTTGTATGGGTATTATGCTATCGGCGATTGGATATGGTATAGCTGCTGCGGCGCGAAGATACTCGCGGGGAAGCTCCGACTAGGAAATTGCGATCGAGCTTCAGGCTGCACGGACCAAGGTTAATCCGTGACCGAAGTCACGTGCTCTGAAATTCACGCCCTCAAGATCAACATCAACATCACGACCTTGTACTACACAAGCAATAGGATGAAATTCGGCCTGAAGCATATGAATTCCTCGTCTCCTCTGAATTATGTACGATAATTCTAGTATACATACCGAACATACAATGACACGTTACTCATTCCTTCCTTCGATAAAAGAGTAAGTGCCCCAACGTCCCTCAGCCGACCCTTGGCCACCCTTGCGCTGCTTGCCTTTACCTTCGTGCTTGGTACGAGGTTCTGAAGTAGGCCGTGTAATCTTCAACGACCGATCTGCTTTTATCTGCCGAACTTTTGGCGACCCGCCTGCCCTGCGAGAAGAGCTTATGCTGTCTGGTGTATAGAAGATCTGCTCAGATTGTGCCTCTTCTCGAGCAGTAACCGGAGCTGCGTTCAAAGCTTGTTGCATCTCATCACTCGAGGATTGATATGTAGGCGCTGCGGGTTCGTACTGTATCGGTCTGTGTGTGATGTCGAAGCTGTACGTCTCCTTCAAGTACTTGGCGATGGCATGGTTCTCTTCCTCAGTGCCACTGCCGTAGTAACTCTTCAGCTCCTTTGCTACGAGCGTGTCCAGAATAACGCCTCGGTTCAGCGGTTTCTCACCCGCCTGCTTAGAAGGATTGTTGCTCGGTAGCGCAACTGTGGCATCCCAGCGCAGGCCCATAGCGGCAAGTCTGTCTCTGCCTGACCATCCTGTAGCGCGCAGTGGGGTCTCCTGAACAAAGCTTCTGACGCGCTCCTCAAGGTCTTCCCAGCTAACTTGCTGAACAAACCAAGGTCGCAGCATCTCTTCAACGGCGCCAGAAAACCCACTGAACGATTTGTTCGAATAGTACAGATGTTGGATCTTGCCCATAAGAAAGCCCACATCCACTCCCGTGATGGTAGGATTTACGCCGACTCGGCGCAAAAGCTCATGCCAGTCTTGGAAGATGTGCTTTCGAAGGCCCACTTCAGAGTCGACCTGTAGGGCTTTAATAAAGCGGCATAGAACTACACGAGCTTCTACTTGTGTCACCTCGCCAGCGATGTCGATGACTGAAGTATCGAATAGTTGAGGATGGGTCTGGGTGAGTAAGCGCGCTCGTGCTTTTTTGAAATATACAGCCGCTAATTTGCGTTCACTGATGGCTTCCATGGCCGCGTCTAGGGGCATTTTCAACGCAGCCTCGTATTTCATGTTCCGAAGATAACCTCGTAGGTGGAACTCAAGCTGTTCCACTTTTATGATATCCTCGATACCGCCATTGACATGTCCTCGGCGGGGGTCGAAAGGTGGTGCTAAGTTTGCTGCTCGTAGAGGCTCCATGATGTCGCTTGGTAGGAGATCTCTGCTACTAGGGTTGACGCCCAAGCTGTATAGGAGAGTGCGGTAATGTTGAGACAGAAAGCGCGCATCCAACGCAACGAGCCTTTTCGCTCGATCGACAATCTGTGTCCTCATTGCCGGCGTCAATGGCCCGTAGAAGTCACTCAAGACTTGTCGTCCTTCCGCTTCGGCACGCAAGCGCGCAGGGAGACCCATTTCTTTTCGGCACTCCGCGACAAGAATCTCTAGACCAATTCCGAAATTCCCTGTAGCGTACGGTAAACTCGATTCGATGTTCCTAAAGGTCTCGGCAGATGGCTTTTCGTAAAAGGCAGGGGTGTCTTTGATGAGGGTCTTGATTTTCCCCATGTAGTCCTGTCTTTCTCTTTCTCCGGGAAACAAAGGATAATCCCATACCGAGAAAACGCCTTCACCGGCTGCGGATTGTGTGGATCTTGTAGGAGTGTAGAGCTTTTCGCCCGCAGGATTACGGTATCCACCATTGATATACATGATGCTTGGATCCTTGGAAGCCCTTTCCTCTATGCTGTTGATTCTGGCGACAAGGATAACATGATCTGCGATGGGGAATTCATGGGTGACCTTGCACTCCATCGCAGCCAACACTTGTTCCCCCAATACCTGCGGCGCAAGAGAAGGCATATTACTAAGATCATAATGATGCCTAGGCTTATCGAGCTTAGGCTGATAGAGTCTAAGCTCTTTTGATCGCAGATTGTAGGCATCCGGATGGTTCCCTCTACAAAATAGATCGACGACTTTCGCACCGCCTCTGTCAGCGGAGGGGTAATGAACGCGAAAAAGGCCATTGGCTGCCCGGATAGCGTCCAAGGTCTTGGACGGTTGTTTGATGTTGAAGGAAATTGTAGGCGGATCGAGTGTAACGGTGCTAAGTGAAGAAACGGCGACGCCCATGGGAACGTGTTTTTGAGTATCGGGGTCGATACTTTTGACCGTGAGGACTGCGACCGAGCTCGGAACGTTACGCATCACTCTGCGTACCGAGTTCTTGAGTCGCTCTTCCCCCAGCTCCGCCTCAGAGAGCTCAAAGGCAGCATCTTGCTCTTCCACGGGCTCCTGCGTGTTTGCTATATCCTCCGATACACTTTCTGCCGGTCGTAATATGTGTACCCCTCCTCTTCCTGTTATCTTTGAATTCTCCTCCCCAGCTCCTATCGCTTCTTCCTCATGCGATTGCGACGGGGAGTGACTTTGTTGTTGCAGCAGACGAGTCGTGTTATAGTAGCGTGGGGCGCAGATGCCGTTGCGGGGATTTGTATCGCGACGAGGGTATTGAGAGGCAATTGCACATGGTCTTGACCGTTCTAAGAGGATATTCAGTATATATGTACCAATGCGCACTGAGGTACTAACGAGTATGTTGATTCCATCTGTAGAAGGCTGCGAAAAAGCGCGAAGCCGGGCGCTGCGAGAGCGCCATGTTCAGAGTAAAATCTTCCGGCTTGACCTCATGCGCCGAGGGGCAGGAGCGCGCTATGTTTCGAGAAGACGCGACTGTTGGAGGGCAATTCGGTGCGAATGACGAAGTGCGCGGGTTGAAGATGGAAATGTTAGATCGGCCAAGGCTGACCTCCGCCTCTTCGCCGCAACTTTCCTCGCGAACTTCAACACTCGACCCCAGCACAAGTCACTATGGCGTCTCCAATACCCTCAATGGGCGCACTGCGCGTCCTCCGACAATCGATACAGCCTCAAGTACGCCAGACGAATCAAGTACGACACGCGACGCTTCTCCGCCGACCCAAGCGACCCTACACCTTCACCCAACTCGTAACCCTCTCTGACGGCAGCTCCTTCACCCTGCGAACCACAAACCCACAGCCCGTATACAAGAGCGCAAAGGACCAACGGAACTCGCCGCTATGGAACCCGAGTTCACACAAACTACTCAATGTCGAGGAGGATGAGGCCGGAAAATTGGCGGCTTTCAGAACAAAGTTCGGACGAGGATGGGATGCGGAGACTGATGCCGAGAAGGTATGTCAACGAGAAGGAGGCTGAGAGAGTATACTGCGAGTGTTTTGGCTAACTCCTGGACAGGGCAAGCAGACGGAAGACCATCTTCTAGATCTTATCAGCAGCCAGGGCAAGCCGCCAGGAAAGCCGACCGATGCCACCAAGACACCACCTGCGAAAGCGCCTGCATCGACGCCTACGAAACCAGCCGCGAAGAAATAAGGAGTTTGTACACAAGACAACGAATGTCACATTACCATGGCACCGTTGTGCAGTACGGTGCAAATGTGGATGGGGCTTCATTGCAGGGTTCGACAGACGCACGCTATTACAGTCATGCAATCATTTCTGTTCCGCTAGTAAACAGTCAGAGTGCCTCGTGAGTTGTGTTGGTGTCACACAATGGGAAAACTCGTGCCCAGATGCGCCCATGTTCCGCTCCACACTCCTCGCTCGACTCATACAGTCAACTATCTTCAAAACCCATCCACCAGCGAATAATGACTTACGCACAAAACCTTCTTTCTTAACTCTCTCAATTGAAGTTCATATCTCAGTGATCGATTCTATTGAACACTGCACATCATCATGGCAAAGTCCAGCTACAGCAAGACAATCTCTGCTACGCCTCGCAATGACACCCAGCGCAAGGTCACGAAGCCTACAACAAAGAGTACGGCGGCCTCGAAACCAGCAAGCAATCGGTCCATGAAGGGCTGGGTACATGAGGAGGATTCTCCCGACTTATCTAACATCATCATCGGTGACCCCAAGGACCCCAAGAACATCATCCATGGCAAAAGGACGCGGAATGGCTCTCACATGAGCGAGTCACAGCTAGGCAAAGCTACAAGTCCGATCACTCTACCAGACGACGACAATATATCAATTCAGACAGCAAACGCCCATGCAGCGTCTCCCACGGCGTCCCCCAAACACAAAGACAGAATATCTACTAGATCTCTCGAGGAGGCGGCGCCCGACACGGAAAGCGACAACGGGCCACTAGCGCATACCGAAGAGTACAATACAGAAGACAAGGTCTCAGCTGCAAAACTCCACAGTAGCATTCTGGCCCTCCTCAACCATTCTTTTCAGGTCACCGACGATGTGTTGGCATATATGCAACATGTTTTAGGTCATGAGGTACACGCACAGGAGCTACAACGCGACGTGGACGAGGTATTGACTGAGCGGGGGAAGAAGAGGAAGAGCAGTAAGAATGTCAGGTTTGCGGCCTGAGCTGAGGCTGTGGTGGTTTCATTGGGTAATCATGACTGGTAGACATGATGAAGGTGCATATTTTGATCAAGGTCCTTACGTGTTGTGGAGTTAATACTCTTATGGTCTTATGGATGTTTCACTAGCTAGTAATACAATTCTCGGGTATTTGCGCTACCTATTGCAATCCATGATGTATCATTTTTGAATCCCAAGAGCTCGATGACATTCCTAGTACATCAAGTGCGACTATATACACGTGCCGGTTCAACACCCGCCCACAAAATCCAGACAAGAGGTATAAAACGCAAACGTCAAAACACAAATAGCCATGACATCCAAAGCATCCAGGCAAGCTTGCCACTAGCGACATACGCCAAAGATCAAACCACACCATCCCCAATGACCCTCCGCTCATGACCGACCCACTCGTCCCCCTCACTCCTCACACTCCCCGTCCGCTCCCTCCCCTCCTCATCGATCTCCACTTCCCTCGTATGGATAGTCTGCACCCTGATATTGTTCAACTCGACCTCGTCCCCGAACTCTTCTCGTGTGGGTGTGCGGTACATGCCGCGACTCGGGGCGCGGAATTTGCTAGGCGGCGACGAGGATTTGCACTCCGTTGTGACGCTCGAAAGCACTAAACGTGGTGAAGTCTGCGGACGGTTGTTGTGATGTGGATTGTGTGTGTTGATCGAGCAAGGGAAAACGTTGAGGCTGGGTCTTCGGGAGTTTGCGCCGCTGTTGGTTCTGCTGCTGCTGATGCTGATGCTGTTGCCGCCGGTCGGCGACACGTCGGCCATGCCCTTGATGGTGATGATTTCACTGCGCAGCTTTTCTTCTGTGTTTTCTCCGTACATCAACTTGCTTTGCCGTCTTTGGTGTGATGTTGTACCGTGTCTTGAACCAATGTTTTCGCCTCCCGTACCGCTCGTTGCGTCGGTAGTCATCATCGTCTTGTCTTTGGATGTGACCCAATGTAGCACCAGCGAACAGAACAGAATATCGGCGTTGCAGCAGATGAAGCAGATCCAGGCTGGTTCACCTTGCAGTATCATGAGGACGGTCAGGTTGACGACGGACGTGGTGAGGGTGGCGAGGGAGCCCATGAGCGAGCGCTTGGCTATCCGACGGAGTGTAGGGTTTGTGTTGTTTTGATACGAGTAGAGACTGCGGAGGGGAACAACGAAGAGAGCAGTCAGGCAAATCTGGAGTTCGGTCAGTTTCATTTGTGTCGGAAAGAACCAGGGTAGGAAAATGGGAGATGTACGTTCACAACGACCTCGAAAATGATCAAGGGTAGCATGGCAATCCTCTGCATGCCAATAATGCATACGCCCTCGTCATCGATGTAGCTTATTCGGCTACGATGCGTCAGTACTCGATCTTCTTTCTCGATGCAAGGGTGGGAATTTGCGGCTTACTAGACGAAATTCAAGACAACCAAGACGGTATACGGCACTTTAGCATCATCAGCGCGGGTTCTCTGGACCTGTTGGTCGCAACGTACGTAGCATGAATAGGCAGTTGAAAAGCCACAGCTTAGTCTTCAAGCGAGGCTTTTGACTCCCCCGAACGACATACTAAATCCAATCAGTAACAGCTCGAACAAGAGAAGAAAGAAGAGCCTTGTACTCACAGCTTTCTCAACAAGGAAATAGTATGTCAGGATCTTCGTCGTCATGTAACACAGCAAACCTGTGCAAGAATTAGTCGCCGGTTCACGCAATCTGGTATCGTAGACTTACACAAGAAGACCCCGCTTTCACAGGCCTGCGGTGAGGAATTGATGCCAACCCCGTGAAGCATAATTGCTGTGGCAAAAACGAACAACGCCGAGTCGCAATATATGATGATGATTACTGATCCATTTCGTTAGGATGATGCGCATCAAATGCCCCGAGAGCGTGTGTTTCGTTGCACATACATATCGTGGCCAAAGGCAGCGCCATCCACTTCGTGATGGACTGAGTTCGTCGCACTGTCACATCTTGTTAGCATTCTCATTCTTTTGAAGTAGCACCAAAAGTTGAAAACCTACTTATGCAAACCGTAAGTGCACCAAAAGTAATGATCTCCAGCATGACACTGATTATCTGTCCCACTCGCGGCACCAGCGCGTTGGCAAGGACGTGACCTTCCATGGTCTCGGTATCGTGTCGTAGCTTTAGCCTCGCCAGAAAAGGTTGTTGCACGTCCAAGTGACCAGATATGAGGAAAGAGAGAAGTAAAAAAAAAGGTAGAATATTACGGATGATGAAATGAGAAAGAATGGCCACAATCAACCTCACGAACCCGGCTCTGGGTACTACAGCGAGAAGTAGGAAATCCCATGTGCAATTGACCCTTTACCGCAGAATCCGCACCCAAGTGCGTCGGGGCTGGAAAGTGCGCCATCGAACCTTGTACCCATAGTCCTGGCTAGCCAGGCCTCTGATCCTGTTGGGGCCAAGAGACTGTCGTACTTCGTATGCACAACGGTCAGTGCTGGGTTCGGAAGTTTGATGACTGCGACGGAAGCACGTCCGGGGGATCGCCGTTCGCTTCCTAGGGGTAGAACAGAAGGCCTGACGCCAACGCCACTCGTAGGCCAGAAAGTCAGACTGCGGGTGAAGTCTTAGCTTCCTTGACTCATTTACATCCGAGCACAATATAAGTCTGATAGGATGGCTCGCTGTTAGCCTAGTGGGCTCATGAACATAATGAAGGGGAAGAGTGCATTAACGTGAATTGCATCTAATACTTCGCGAGATATCGATGTGATCAAGCAAGACGTGCATGGCAAGGGAGGAATTCTCGAAAACCATTTATCCAGGGCCAGTACTCCACGCCGGGCTAAACAAGACGGCGGGTCCTCGCTAATCTCACGTGGTTGACGTAGCTTCGAGATCTCGAATTCCTTAGCGTCCCAGATGTTCCACAACGGTATCCAAGCCGATTGGACTGGAATGATCGTGCCATCTCAAATCAGTGTCGAAGAATCCCCCGAAGGATGTCAAACGTGGCTAGACTGAAGAGTAGCTTCGCCAAATGCAGAGCAAGAGACTAATGCCGCTCTTCCGAATACCAACAAGCCTGAAGCGTAGCGTCTGTGCTGCTACCTCGCCGAAGTGACCGCTTAATCAGTAATGGGGGCAGACTCGCGTAGCAATGTTCATGCAAGTCTTTTAAAGTTCAAACAACGTGGCTTGCCGTAGTGTTCGGAAGACGCAATCCTCATAGCTCCTGTTGATACAGCTCTTCGTCGGTGACATCTTTCCGAGCGTTCGCATAACTGTCATCAACGCCCTGGGCAACCCACTCATCCCTGATCAGTCTAGCAACGTTTTTCCCGCTCAATGCACTCGTCTCCATGGTGCTGATAAAGCTCTCGATTCCGCTGGTATACCACAGTCCGTCGTCTAGCTTGATCTCCTCAAATGTCACGCGTGGGTATTCGCGTGGGTATGAGTACCACAGTTTGTGGTGTATCCAGCTCACCGTGCCATTTGCGTCACCGTGTTCGGCTTCCTCGTCCGAGACGTGTCGGCCAAGGACGCGCGAGAGGAAGGTGGCGTTCACACGGGCGGGTGAGAAGATCTTGTATATGTATTCCAATCGAAGCGGGGAAGATCCTGGGTTGATACCAGCATCGGATATAGATATGCTGAAGAAGTTGGGCGACCCGACACCATCCACCGGGACCTCAGACGGGGGTAGCGTGGTAAGAACGTATTGCGGTACAGGTGTCTCAGGCCCAAGGTTGAAAGCTTCTTGGTCCAATCGGAAGGGCGACGCGAATAGGGTAGTGTACAGTTTCGCATAGGGTATCTCATCGGGAATGTGCTGTGGCGCAGGTTGGATAACAAGATCCGAATACTGAAGCGGGGATGCGAGGATGACATCGTCGAAGACCGATTTGAGGCCGGTACTTGTGGTGACTTCATAGCTGCCATCGTGCTGCTTCGAGATGTGGGCGACAGAAGTATTGAGGTGGACATTGGCGCGAGAGGTTTTCAGCATACGGGCAAAGATCTGCCAGTTGCCTCCTTCAATTTGCATTGCTCCATTTGTTGCCATGCAAACCATTGTCTCCAATCCGTGAATATAAGGCAAGTTCGAGGCGTAGTTGACCCGAGTGCTGGCCTGGATAATCTCTCTGGAGAACGCTTCCCCGATTCCATTCGTCCTGAGGTACTGTTCCCCTGTCACTCCAGTGGCTTCCAATAAGCCCACATGCTCGACGGCGTCACTCAGGCTCTTCCACGGAAACACCGGTTCATCATACATCTCGAAGAATTTGCCCACGGCACTCTTCATCAGCCTGTTGGTCCAAAGCGGCGCAGCGCCATATCTCCACAGCAGCTTCGCCTTGTCCCACCAAGTATCACCTGCTTTCGTCACTACAACGAATTCTTGTCCATTCCAAATGCCCAGATCAGGCATTTCCATTTGCGCTGCGAGATCTCGTGCTCCAGCAGTAGATAAGTTGAATTCCTCCTTGGCTTTCACCATTATTCGATTGCTCTGCACAAAGATGCTGCCGCCCAGCTCTACGGATATCGCCGGATCGTTCCATGGGTTCACAGTCGTTGTGCGGCCGCCGACGTAGTCGTTGCGTTCGAAGACGGTGATGTTTGTGGGGATGCCTGCTTCGGCGGCATATTGCGCGAGATGGTACGCAGCGGATGAGCCACCTGCACCTGCACCTTCTTGGAGTCAGCATTTGTGATGGATCTTCTGGGGATATGGACTCACCTATGATTGCTACCTGCTTTACGTGGTGAGCCGGATCATTGGGTGTGAGAGCAAGTGCAGAAGGTAGCACCGAGGCAAGGCGCAACCATCGCGTCATCATGTTTACTCCTTCAAAAAGGCCGTGCCGCTTATATGTATTTCTGAATCAAGTGTGAGGGATGAAGAAGCGTCGTCAGGTTCAAGTAATGTCGCATGTCATGGTGGTGCGAAGGACGGAGGTTGGTATGGAAGGGCGCGGCAACGGTGATGATGGTGACGCGGCATGGATCAGCCAGCGGCAG